ATGAAAAGTACTTGATTTATAGAATTCAAACAAGTTCAATAATAATAAGCTCACTAGAAGTTTTTTTCTGCTTCGTTTTTGTCTCTTTATATGTATGCAAGACAAAAACATTTTTAATTAAACACAGGCCAAATCCCTGTCACAGGCATCAGAGCAAACCTTAAATAAAGGCTAAATAAAGTTCTTAAAAAAAAAAAAAAAGAATCTGCAGCATGGACTGCAACACTTACCTGCTCCTTAGAAAGAATATAATGTTATTTACATTGAGGCAACTCACAATCCTTTTAATCCACAATATTTTAAAACTTCAGACAAATTTTGTAATCTCCACTGTGCTATTATGTGGCTACCTGTAAGTTTAATAAGAACCATTCATTGCATTTAGAAGCAGAATTTGACACTTAAATCTCAAGCGTTTGTGTAAGCACAAAGTTTGTTAGAACAAAGCAAAGGTCAGAGTTTTCCAGTTTCATATCATGCAAGCAAAGAGTTATGATGTCTATATGTTTTTTTTCTGGATATTTTAGATAATAAATCTACAATGCTTCCTTCTCCCTAGGTAAATTCATTACTAATTAGCCAAGTATCTAAAAAGGGCATGCTGCTTTGCATAAGACCTAATTAGTTTTAATAATCCATTAAATTACAATATGGTAAATTAAGACCCCATCCTATGAGCCACAGAGGCTGACACAATGTGTCACTTACCAACTCTTGCATAAACCACTTGAACTGTGAAATATGCTGTATTATCTTTTTTAAAGATTTTCAGATTTGTTACCAAGAATGGCATTTGCAATGAAGTCCCAATATTTCATTGTTTTCAGCTTTTACTCATTATACCTATTCAACCCCTCTTAACAGTAAATGTCCATCCCACTAACTTCAATAGAATAAAAACAAAACAGGAAGAAAAGGGTACATTAAATGGATTTGTTGAACTAGTCTACGTTCCCAGCATCTTGCAGGATGCCAGTTTCTAAACATCTGTTCTCTACAAAGATAATATTGTGTCAAAGAAAGCAGAAAACCCCACGATATTAAAAGAAGCCAAAACATTCCTAACAAATAACACCTAAAAGTCACTAATGTTCATTACTGCTACAGAATGGTCACACGCTGACTTTGCATCCTTCGTATCTCCATAGATGGGGAGGCATTAGGTTTTAAAGAACATCAAGAAATGCGACTGAAGTCTCTTTCTTCCACTGAAGTAATATTTTTCTGGACACCTGCATACTGCCAAAGGTAAACTAGATTCTACAAACAGACCTGAGACTTCCAACCCTCTCCCACATTGAAGATGACCCAAGTGCTCCAGCTCTTGTACTGGGCTGGGCCAGGCCAGTCCAGCTGATTTTAACCAAGATGAGTATCCTCCTCTCAAAACCAGTGAATGCAACACTGTAGATAAATATGGTAAAATCTGTTGCCATCCAAGTCCCACCCTGAACTGATGGAGATCAAACAGTAAATGCGCTGATTTTGGTCGGGGTAAGTTAATTTTCTTCATGGTAAACAGTATGGGTCTATGTTTTAGATTTGTGCTGGTAACAATGTTGATGATACAGGGATGTTTTAAATACTGCTGAGCCGAGGCCTTTTCTGCCTCTCACAGCACCACACCAGTGAGCAGGCTGGAGGTGCACAAGCGGTTGTGAGGGGACACACCTGAGACAACTGACCCCAACTGAGGATATTCCATACCATACGACATCATGCTCAGTGTATAAAGCTGGGTGTAGATGCTCATGGTGATGGCATTTGTCTTCTCAAGTCACCACTACTCACGATGGAGCCCTGCTGTCATGGAGAAGGCTGAGCACCTGCCTGCACATGGGAAGGAGCGAATGAATTCAGTTTGCTTTGTTTGTGCACAGCTTTTGCTTTATCTATTAAACTGCCTTTATCTCAACCCATTTGTTTTCTCTCTTTTCCTTTCTGATTTTATACCCCATCCCACCAGGAGGAGCAAGCGACTGACTGGGGGTTAGCGGCTGGCTGGGGTTAAACTATGGCAATGTTCTCTTCTTTGCCTGTAAGGCAAAGCTTACAGCTGCAACATTTCCTGTGAAAGTTATTTCTTTACAGAATACACAATTTTCTTCAGCATTTTTAATTCATTAGTGAACATAAATACTTTGTGAGCAATCTTGGGGTTTTGTTTTTTGTTTGGTTTTTTTTTCATATCAGTAGAAGCTGTAGCAAAATTGATTCTAATTGGTTTTGGCAATGTCTAGAAAAAATGTAACTTAGAAAGAATCCTAAAATAAGAAGTTTAGAGTGAAAAAAGGAAAATGTTATGTTATAGGACTTGAAACACGCTGGCCTCTACTTTCACATCAACATTCATAATGCACTGGTGTTAAAGACCAAATAATGAATACCTATTTGACTTTTACAGTTTATGTTCTTAATTAGCCTAATTCACACCACACAAAAGCCACCACTAACATACCTTAGCCCGTTTTTGCATAGCCAATGGCAAAGAAACTCTAAATCATCAGACTTACATTACTTAAACTTATTCTGGGTTTATTATCATTGTGTTAACGGTAGTTAATCAGTTCATTTAATTAAACACCTTGGCACTTAGAAACCTCACTTCCTTTTGACCTTGGTTAGCAGAAGGCCCTCCGCAGAGGCAGTCCTAGTTGTACTGGTAGATACCCCTTCCAGGGCATAGCCTGGAGAACAGCTTTGAACAGAACATGCTACTGGCACCTAACTCTTTCCTCCAGCTGCTTGTTTCTCCTTTGGCACTGGGAATTTAACTGTGCTGGCACAGCAACGGTGCAGCTACACGGCAAGAGAGATCAAGGAATGGATCCGAGACCTAATAACTACACCAGGTTTGGTTTTTTTTTCTTGAATTCAGACATTCAGACTAGTTCCTTGATGTCAGCCACCAAGCAACTACACAAGCCTTTGTGCTGTCATGGCAAAGCTGTTCCTACAGCCCCAAGAGCAGTGAAGAGAACAGCCAATACTACTTGCCGCTTATCGTTCACACTCAAATAACATTACAGATGTTAATTAGCATTCCTTTCAAAGCCTGTATGGGAAGACAGTCTGCCAGAAGCTGCAATTCAATAAGTTAAGTATTTCTAAGATTCCAAGGGATCCAAAGATGCACATCTAGTCAGGACATACAATATAACATGCACACACAGATACAACTAGGTGCGACACCCTGTGAATTAACTAACAAAGAGAAAGAGTCCATTCACCTCTTTGCCACAAAGTAGGAAACTTTTCAGAACTGGAAGCAACACAGTACTACAGTGACAGCCATCATGGTGAGCCACCTGCTTTTAATTAGGAACTAGCTGCCTGTATTAAAACCCAAACCAACATCCTCTCCTTCCCCTTTCTGAAATCACGAAAGCGAACTAATATGATACTGAACTTGGAAAATTAAGGTTTCCCAAGCAACAGTGGAATTGAAATCAGAAACACTGATCAGCTTCCAGGATACTCTTTAGGGCAGGATTCTGCTGCACTCAGCCTACCAAATATCGGTTTCACCCCAACACTGGTGCAAACCACACAGAAGAACATCCTGAATTCAGGGGAACTGAAGCCGAGAGTATGTGAGGAACGCTAAACAAGGCACGCCTTTGAGATAGACATAATACGCTCTCATAAGCTTAACAGCCACAATAGGATCCACCGGCCGAGCTCCTCAGCAAACGCCTTCAACCCCCAGCTCCGGCCTCACACCGCGGATCAGGGCAAGGCCAGACGGCGACAACGTTCCCGCGCCGGGCCCGCACCAGCCTGCCCCGCTTCCCCGGCCTGGGCTGCCCCAAGGCCGTCTGACCCCAGCGACAGAAACCAAAGTAGTGGCCACAGCGGCGCGCAGGCACCGGGGGCCCCGGTCTCCCGGGCGGCGGAGTGACGCCTACCTTCACGGCTACTTCCGGGGCTGCGTCCACGGCCAGGGCCCCTGGGGCGGCGGGCGGCGAACGGAGGTGCAGCACGGCGTCGCGGGTGGCGACCACAGCGGCGCTCTGGGAGCTGCCTTCAGCCTCCGGCTCCGAGTCGGGCTCCGAATCGGAGCCCCCGTAAGAGGCGAGCGCGGCGATAGCCGCCGACATCTTGGCGCGAAGGATGACGGGACGAGCTGGTCCTGGCAGCTCCGCGGAACTCACCGCCTGCTTTCTCCCGCAGGACGAGAGGGGTGGGACTGCCCATTAAGAGATAGCGCATTAGAACGGAACATACTCCCCACAATGTGTGGGATAAATTATGGATTTCTATTGGATACATAGGCGTTACAGGGGGAGGACCATCTTCCTTTGCTCTTGTCGGTATTCAACCTTTCAGGACTTCCAGACAGGACTACAAGCTCCAGCATGCAACGCGGCGCCAGCAGGCCGGGCCCGGGCTCCACGTGAGGTGGGGGACAGCCAGTCTGAGTAGCGTAGCGCAGCCGCTGCTGTCCTGCTGCCCAGGCAAACGAGTTTTATGGCGCCGCTCTTGGCGGGGAGATGAGAGCGGGAGTGGGGGGCGCGGGGGGAAATCTTCCTGCTGCTCGTTCCAAGGGAACGCGCGCCTGCCGATGACTGGTTCTCGAGCCCCACCGATTTCCAGCTCGAGGTCCCCCACGTGACGACCTGTCACGGTCTCTCAGGGTTTCCACCCGCTCTCGCCTGCACCTTGCGTTAACGGCAAAGAAAAACATTCAACAGAGGGCGGGCGCCTTCTCCCGCACACAAAAGGTTCTCCCCTGCCGCTGATTGGCAGCCAGCTGCCGGCTTTGGGCAAGTCACAATGGCGGGCCCCGCCCTGCCCGTGCTTGAGAGAGGGAGCCGGCCGGCTGGACCGTACCACCTGCCGCCCGCGGGGTGGGGTGGGCTCGCCTCCCTCACGTTGGCGGGGGGAGTCGGCGGCGCATGGACCAGTCCGAGAATCGGGTGGGGGGGCGCCGGGTCCGTCCGCTGGGTAAACAGCCCTGCCTCCTCCCGCCTCGGCTCGGCTCGGCGCGCCGGGCGAGGCCCCTCCCCCCGCGCGCACACACACGCTCTCTCACACGCGCGCTGCCCTGTGTCTATTGTGAAGCCTTCGGGGGAGCTCCGCGCCGCCGCGGCCCCCCCTATCCCTCAGCCCCGCGGAGCCGGCGGCCGGCCGCGGGGCGCTGTGCCGTAATGGCTGGCACCGTTTGAAGTTCCAACGGCAGCGGGGGCAGCGCGCGGCGAAGGGAGGGGCTGAGGCTGAGCGGCGTGAAGGTGTGAGGCGAGGGGAGGCAGCGCGACAGAGACGGGCCGGCGAGTAAGTGCCCCGCGCCCTTCCCTCGCGGCCATCGCGTCGGGCGGGAGGGACCGGCCCCCGCTTCCCTTCCCCGGCGCTGCGGGACGTGTCCGCCTCACAAAGGCACCAGCCCCCACCAGGTGCTGGCCCCCTCCCCTTTGTCCGTTCCCGTGCGGGGGGCGGCGGCGCGGCGGGAGGAACGGAGGGATGCACACCGCGGCCCCGGAGCCCCTTCCCCCGTCTCCTCGCCGCCCTCGCCAGCCGGGGCAGGAGGGGGCGTGTTGCGAGGCGCAGAGGGGAGGGGGCCGCACTCGCGCCGGAGCGCGGCGGCTCCCTCCTCTCGGTCTCTTCCCGGTGTCCTAGCCCCGTGTGCCCGTACCCGGAGGGGAAGGTGGGGCCGTGCGGGGCCGGGGTCAGCGGGTGGGGGTGACGTCAGCCGCGGCCAGGTGCGAGTGGCTCGCGCCTGGCCGGTCTGAGGTGAGGAGCTCCCAAGGGCCGTTGTGGTGGCGGGGGCTCGGGAGGGCACAGCCGGCGGGGCCGCCGATCGGAGGCGAGGGGATGCGGAGCGGCGAAGGGCAGAGCTGCCCGCTGTAACACTGCTACCATTGTTAGGCGGGCTCGGAGATCGCGGCCGGCTGGGAGCGGGAGAAAGCGCGTAGGTTCCAACTTCTCCAGGCGGTAGAATGCCTTTTCCTGCGCCCGCTTCACTCGCGGGCAGAATAATTGGCAAGTGCAGAGCGCTGAGGGGCTAGCTTCGATGCTAGGTAATATGCACTGCATGCGCTTAGTACAGTGCCATGACTTCCTTTCGTGTGCCGCATGTGCTTCCAGAATTAAAGTGAACATACAGTGACATCTAATTGTGACACAGTGGCATTTAATCAGATTAAATGCTCTGGTTTGATTTTTCCATCCTTTCCATCAGTCACGGTTTTAAACAAGTACCTTGGCTTGAGAACAGATTACTTATTTTTTTATGGGAAAAAAAAAAACAGATACAAGGACAAATAGAAAGTATTAATAGCATGGGGTGAAGTGCTGCCTTTAGACCTGTTTTATTCGACATGGGCATGTATCGTCTTTGATTCCTAGAATAGGGATTTTAGGTGAAATTCCCACATTTTCAACAACACTGAGACCTTTCTTTTGTTTACATCTCCAACAGCTGAAATGTACTTTTAAACTAGCATTTCATATGGTAATGAGTTTACTTTTTCTGTTAAATACATGGATGATGAATCTATAAGTAAGGAAAGCTGTATGGCACTATGCATGAATCACTGCTTATTAATGTCAAAAGTGGATCTTCCACTGCAGTCAATTTGTTTATTGGCTGTAACTGTTAACTGATTCCATATGACTGCATTCCTTTTTCTCTTGGCATACAGAGGCTGGGTATTGTCTGAAGTTGAAAGGTGTTCTTCCTGAAAAGTGAACTATTTCAAGTTTATTTGTGCAACTAGCCTCTGATATTTTATTGGAGAATTGTGTTGAAAATGATTAAATAAATTCTACCTCGTTATTCTTGAATCTCAAGTGTTTAATTGGCAAAGCTTTGGTAGTTTGCTTAAGTATGTCCAGCTATGTTGCATCCAAGCATCCTGGATCATTTGCTATTAGAATCCCAGATGATTAAATTTCAAATGTTTTCATTGTAGAACTTAGGAAAATCACTTGATGATTTAAATTAGTTGCCCTTCTGGTACTGTCAGGCTAGTAATAAACACAAAAGAAGGTGTTCAGTAGAACACTGAAGTTTCTCTTTGCGTAAATTGTAGCGAAGATTAATTTTTAGTAAGCATGCAGAGGCCATTTTTGGGTATGAAATGATGACTGTGCTTTAAAAGTGTTGATGGGTAATATTTATAGCTATCTAAAATGTGGTTTTACTGAAAGAGATGAGGAATTGCTGCTCATTATTTATATCGAGATAGTCTGTTAACACAGTAACTATTAAGTTGATTAGTGTAAAACAAATCAAAAGAGTGATACAGCTTAAAAAAAAAAAGTCTTCTTGTCGATTACTATATGCTGTGTGTTCTGTATTAATCGGGTTCCAGGAGATGTGTTATGTTACATGCTGGATGCTGCTGGTTCTGAAAGGCAGACTGGAGTAGTGGGTGGAAGGTGATTTGGTTTATTTGGCTTTTATTTCCATCCAGCTTTTCCACTGCTGTTTTTTCTTGCAGTCACTTAGCCTCTCTTGCTTTGATTTCTCCAAAGGAAAATAAAGATATCCAGCTTTATACAGCACTTCTGCATATAAAAGGGGCCTTTTGGCACCTGTTTGTTTCTTCTCCCGATGGTGAATACTATACCAAGTATTATTGTGTACTTCCTTTTTTCTCCCGCAGGTGAAACAGGAAGGAGTACTTTTAAAGAGTAGTTCCTTGAGCGGTAGAAGCTTTTGGCTTCTTACCCTTTTTTAAAAAAAATCTCAGGGATGATCGTAAGTTCTAATGGAATATTTTATAGTGTCATCCTTCTGTGGATCATCTAATGTCTAATAAGGGCTTTTCCTTGGTCCTGACACTCTTAGCATCTTGATTTCATGAACCTAACATTTTCTTAGGCAATTATCTTTGAGACCTCTACCTTTCTGTCAAATCTGATTGAATTCATCCAGCAGTTTCCAAGTGGGAGATCCCCCCACACTTCCTGTATAACACTAATTTCCTGAAAAAGGTGGTGTAAAATATTTTAAGTTTTAACTGAACATTTCACATTTCCTTCGTATCAATCTTTTCTTCCATATAGTAGATAATGGAATCTGTTGCCTTATGCTTTAATGTGTTTTTTTTTTTTTTAAATCCTACTTTCTTTTACTTTCTCTTCCATAGTTCTTTTTTGTTGTTTCCATGATAGATGTGCTTTATCTCATACCTTGTATTTTCTGTTTGTTTTCCTTCCCCACAGAAGATAATGCATATAATCCTACTTGTTCTATTTTTCTATTTATTTTTTTTTTTAATACTCTTAAACTGCTATCAGCCCACTTGCGTATACAGATCTTGGTGGATGAGATGTAAGTGTAAGTCTGCATTTTGGAAGGAAGGGGAAAAAAACCCCAAAACCACAAGCCAGACACTTAACAGGATTGAACTAAAATATGAGGCTCTATTGTCTGTGAGAAGTAGAGTTTGAAAGAAAATGAAGTTTTTTTTTCCTTTGTATCTATGCTTTTGGATGCTGAGAAGAAGGTATTATGGAAGTCTTACCAGGTTATTGTTACTGCATTCAGATTGGGCATTTTTATAGCCTTCTGCTTGTGTCTGATGCATCTTAATATACTCTAATTTAACTGATTGAAGAATGAAGCACCTTTTATTACTCATGCTCTGCTTTTTCTACCACCTTGGAACCTCTGCTGTGAGAGTGATAATACCTCTTTTCCAGCCTTTTTTTTTTTTGGACTATGTCCCGGATTCTGAAAGATTTCAAGGCGCCAGATTGCAATAGGAGTTCTGTGTTCTAGTACATCTGTGAATCAGTCTCTTTAAGCTTTTTGGGAGGGATCTTGAGGTCGTACAGATTACAGGCTTTATATTTCATTTTAACAAGACATGGTTTTAAAGAAGAAAAGATATGGGGTAAGACTGGAACAACTTGGAATGTCACACTTATTTCAGGTGTCTTTGCAAACAATTTTTTTTTCAGAGCCACCTCCTTCCTAGAGGTCAGAAGCTGTGCAGCCTCTTCAGACTGCTCAAGTGCTTGTGCAGTGCTTTGACCTGCATCTTACAACACAAGTTGAATGAAGAATGTCTCTGAGAGCTAGCAAAGCACTAATTACAGACTTCCAGGAAAATAAACTAGTTAGCATAATTAGAAATGCTCATGTCTTTAATACTGGATTTCTTAATTGTCTGAATTTTTATTTTTTTAAAAATCAGTCCAAGGACAGAAAATGTCATCAAAAGTGTGTACATTTCTAAAAATATATTAATTTAGGTGCCTATTTTGGGGTGGTGGGAAGCTAAATTGAATGGTGGCTTACTTAGGCTGATGTGTTGGTGTAGTAAATTGCCTTATATGCAGAGAACTACAGAATAACAAAGGCAGTTACATTTTAACAAAATGCTTAATGAAGAGCAGGAGTTGTGGATAGTTTTCAATGAGTTTATATCTTGCTGCACTATACTTTTTAGTTAGATGCTGTGATTTCGACATATATGAATTTAGTCTTCCGACAGCAGACTCCAAGCAGATTATTATGAATGCCATAACTGTCTGACACTTAAAACTTATTAAAAACCAGGACTCTATCTATTGTAAAGTCAGGTTGAGTTTTTTGGCATTAAATTCTGTTAAAGTATTTCTTACAGCTTTTTGTTGCATGGGTTTTTGTTGTGTTTTTTTTTTTTCTCCCCCTTCTTTTCTGCTCCATGGTAAGCTGCATTAATTTACTGGGAGTATTAATAGAGTCTCTGTTCTCTATCTGGCTGTGTTCTCACAAAATTTGAGAACCTCAATGTACTTGAGTTCAGTTCCAGTAGAAACTGGTCTATAGATTTTAAGGTGCTGAAGGAGAGCTTCGAGCAAATACTCTGCAAGTGATCTCATAAACTTCGTTTGCATAGGAAGCAGGTCTGAAAATTGTTTGGTGCTCTTAAAGAAAAACATGAAAGATTGCACATGTAATTCTCATCCCTTACAGCTGCAGCTGCCTGTACATAGAAGTAGTGTATGATGATAACAAAGACTGATGGCAGACACAGTGCTAACTAGTGTTGCTGATATAGTTAGTACTGATTCTGCAAAGACGATTGCACCTAATCTGCTGGGGTTTTCACTGTGGTAATAGCATAGCAGATTAAATTTTAATGCAGTTCTAATTTACGTATACTTTTTAAAGGTGTAATTGAAGGTTCCTCCCACCAGGCTGTTAGATAAAGAAGCCAGGATGTGAGAGGTAAAATACTGTTGTTGGTCACAAAAATATCTGAGAGGAAGTAACAGAACTAAACTGTTAAGTTACAGGAGATGTAATGTTTTGTCTTATTAAATCAGAAGCTGTTCAA